TATAGTAATTTCTAAATTAAGCCAAAGATTGTGGCTTTAAAAGTTACTTTTAAGTAATTTTCTTCACCACTTTTCTTAAAAAATTAGCCTTTTTCCCCCCTTTTTTTGGAATTTTAGTACAAAAAGTTTGCTAATCTAAAAATATGGTCTCACCTACTTCTAGAAAGTAATTTTCATTTTTCTTTTTCCCACTTCAGCTATCAAGGCCAAAGAAGACATTGTGTCTGAAATGTGGTATACTGTCTCAAGAAAAAAATAGCTTCAATCCTGTTTGTAGTTTCTTCCAATATTCCATTACCATGAAATTGATTAAGAATTGGTTCAAAAATAGATAATAAACCATCACAAAGCAATAGATCGAGTAACATAGAGTTTCTCAACACAGGAATTGCTAAATGTGTATCTACAACTACATGATTACATTTTGAAATTTAGGTGTGTGAGAATGTGAGTGTGTATTAAATTTAGAGTTCTTCTAAAATATGATCTATTTCTAGGGAGCCTTTACAGACCTCCCCAATTTATCACTCTACGCATTGATCGAGGATGAAAGCACATGAAGAAAATAGCCTTTTAATTGCTATAAACTTTTCATAAGTATTCATACGGACTTTGCATGGTTCGAGAATAGGTTGGTATTTACTGTACCCCACCCTTGTACAAGATCAAAATTTTGGAAGAAAAATGAAAAAATTCCACTCTGGATGCGAAAGGCAGGTCAACAGCCGAATGCTTGCCAAAGAGGTTATAGAATATCAAACATCAAACTTATAAGGCTGAGAACCTTCGATTTAAGCCTTTCTGGGGAGGTAACATTAGAAGACTTGAGGAAGGTTAGGGGAGATGGGGGGGAGTTTTGAAGCCTAAATGGTTATATTATGGTTTGTATTCCTCCCGAACACATTTGTTATTGATTCACATGATCACAAGGTGGAAAATTGTTCCAGTAATGACTACAAGTTTGTTATCTATGCACATTATAGACATTAAAATTTAAAAAGGGTAATCATGTTATGATTTGTATTTGTCAGGATACCCAAAAAATGCTATCGGAAAGTTTCATGCCAATCACTTGACCCATTTCCTGTACCGTGAAGACTTGAAATTAGTAATTTAGCATATGCAAAACTTAAGGCAATATTTGATACAATGTCAGAGTTTTTCTCATTATGTCCAAGAAAATTCCAAGAGATAAGCCTAGTGATGAAGATTACATTAAAAATGACAATTTTAGTGAAGATAATTACTTTCATAATATGGGGGTTCAAAGCAATAGTTTTCCTTTTTTCCCCCTTTCCCTATCTTCTTCTTCTTCTTCTTCTCTTTGGAGGTGACAAGGTAGTGGCTAAAGAAGTAAAATTTTTTTTTTTTTTTTTCTCTCTCCCTCTTCCTCTTTTTTTTTTTTTTTGGGTATTTATTTTTCATAAAAGTTATTTGATTTTGCCCCTTGTACCTCTCTATCATTGTTCACATGCACTACGTGACATGTTAAAGATCAAACAGACAGAAAGTGTCAATGGGGAACCAAACAGTTGATCAAACGTACCTCGCAAACAGTGTTTCCATGCACTACTTTGGCCTTTTCTATCTTATTCATGTCAAGTATTTGGGAAACTAATGAATTACACGAGCACACAACACCAATAATGATAGAGGCAAAATTTAGATAGCACAACAACGTGTATCCAATGCAAGAGAATGGTTTTCAAACTTCGAATCAATAGTAATGATAGTATGAGACATAATTAACAAAATAACTCAACCTAGAAAATATTCCCATCACATGCATTGCATGGATCACAAGGAACAGAAGAAATTAAAGTCAAACAACAATCCAGCTAGTGTACAACAAACTAAGTCTTATTTTCAATGAATTTGGAGTTGGCTACATTTATCCTTCTCTGCTAATTCATTTGGTTCCTTAGTAAATCTAAAAGATCTAGAACTAGAATACAAAGACATGCTAGTTTTGGTATACACTTCCCTAAACTGACTTATTCCTCTGAGATCGTCCCATTGCCATGAACATCCGTTTCTTTACGTCTACGTAAAATGTGTCTTAGCTACCTAGCTTGTCTTTTCTTTACTTATCTTCAATCAAAACTACACTCCACTTGTTGAAATATTCTTGCGTTATATTTGTACATTTTAGTATGATCATATAGCCATTTTAGAATCCTCATTTCCGCTATATTCATCTTAAGAACATTTTATCCTTTATCAGCCCAACACTATGAACTATAAAGCATAGCAAGTCTAATCACTGTTCTATAGAACATGTCTTGGAATCTACCTATCACACAAAAATCCAGAGAACAACTCCTTTTCATCTACTCCGTTCTAATCATGTACTTTTAAGGAACCTATGGAAGAATAAAGAGAACTGACTTCAAAGCCATAAGGGCCATTCACCATTAAATAAGCTAAAATTGATGGAGCCCATTCAAATCAACACTTGCAAATTTGGTACTTCAAATAGCACCATAAGTAGATAGATTCTTGCACCAGAAAATAATGCTCGGGCCAACAGAAGCTAGGATTAATTCTGATTTATAAAAAAAAAATGCCTTTTAAACCTTCAGTTTCTACTTATACAAAAGATTTACTCCATTCAAATTCGGGAAACCTTTAGCTCAGAGATCAATACACATCTCACAGTCATCTAACAAATTGTCCAACCTCTATTAGTCAATTGATAATTTGACTACTGGAACACATCATATACCTACTTTGGATTCTCAATCTCATATAAAATCAAAATGCCAAAACCTAAAAATGTTATTTCATACTTCAGCCAATTAAAGTGTCATCACTTAAGATAACCAAAAATCTATCAACTATGGCCTGTTAAATGTTCAAAAATAAATTAAAAAATTTAAACCCAAAAATTGCCAAAGGAAACTCCAGGATTAAGTAGCTTCAGCAAAATAAAAATAAAAACGGACTAAAATAGCTGACAAGACAGTGCATACATAAGTGTTGAGCTGGCGGACAAAGCTGGAGAAATTGTTGTGCTTGAAATATTTGGGCAGCAAATATCTCGCGAATTCAGCCGAATCCCACACCACAAAGCTATTATTGGTCGTGCTCCACGACACGATCTTATCAGTGCTTGGGTCATCCACCATGTCATAAGTCTTCACCAGGAACGGTGGTGGCGTGTTGGCCAACGGTAAGGGCACCGCCTGCGGTGGAGCTCCTCCGCCTTCTCCCGTGGAAGCCGGAGCCTTCCCGCCGTTCGAAGAAGAAGTGGACGCTTCCATCTTATATACAAAATACAAACACGGTCATCAAAATATAGTACAATTGGAATAAAAACCCTCGGATTTGGGGATAAATTGGGCGCACGAAATTGCTGAATATTTTTAAAAAGAGCGAGTAGCTGAACTGTCACGGGAGAGGCAACGATAGGCTCAAAGTGGGGCACGATATCGGAAGCGAGAATGACGCCATTGGTACGGGTGATTTAGCAGGAGGAAAATTACAGTTGGAACCCCTAAACTTTATAAAATGTTTGAATCTATTTTTAATTTTTTAAAATAGCAATTTATTGTTACTTTAATTACTTCATTCAGTTCCTCAATTTTTAAAATTTATTTTTCTAAATTCCATTTCAATTTTAGATTTAATGGAGTCCACAACTTTTATCAACTTTTTAATTAAGTTCTATTAAAATCTATTAAAAATATAATTTTTAGCTAAATCAAATAAGATTTAGTCCCCGTTTGACCCCATTAAATTTCATTACATTACATTTCATTTTTCTCTCTCCTAATTTAAACCACACAATCTTACATAAAATAATATTATACGTAAATCGAAAATTTTTCATTCTTTTTCAACCACAGATTTTAATACTCTACCTTTTAAATTATTAAAACTATATTTAAATTGGGGATTGACCGTTATATAAAATAAATATTTTTTTTATATTTATGAGATAATAATTTTTTCTATAGAATAATTTATAATGTCAAATATTTCAGGATATGAACTATTTCCTCATTTAATCAAAACAACATTCGGATGCTAATTTTCTAAAAAAGTAATAAAACGATATAATGCATGTTAAATAACTTATTTAATTTCAAATAAATAAGCAATATATTTATATAAATGTAAAAGGTAAAGATGCACCACAAAAAAAAAATAATAAAATACAAAAAATTGGTTTAATATTTGAAATCCATGAAATTCATGAGAATTCATAAATCTTTGCACCCTCCCTCATCCTCTCTATCTCTTGTTCTTTTCTCTCACATTGTCATGGCTCTCAATCTCAACAACTCCATCCAACTCGGACGACATAAACAAAATTTGGTCGTCGTCGCTTCACTTGTCAAGGAGATCTAAATTTTTCATATTTGTACCACCTCACCTATGTCATTCTTTATCTCGAATTTTGCGATTTGATTTGTTGGATTTTTCAATTTTTAATTGTAATTTTAAATTCAAGAATGAATGATATGGTGGTGATAGTGAGAAAGAAACAAGGTGAAACAAAAAGTGTTGTCACATTATTGTGATGATTGGGGGTCTAAGATTTGGATGTTGGGTCAGGTATTTGTTAAATTGGTGGTTTAGTTTGACGTGGACAATGATGGTTTTGGTAGTTGGTATCAATAGAGGTGGTCATGATGTTTGGGTGGTGATCGGTAATGAGCGTTAATGATAGTGGTGGCAGCAACATCATAGCACGGTTGCACATTTAACAAAAGTTACAAAAAGTGTGGCAAGATATGATACTTGTGACGNATTGTGGAACCTGATGAGATGAATGACTGCCCAGAAGTTGTAGGTACCTCTTGAAGAGTAACTCCTGAAACATGGTCCAGAGAACTGTCACAATCTAATGCATTAGATGGCAATGCATCACCAATCAGGAAATTATCAGGATTATTGTTTAAGTTTTCAAGCCTAGGAGAAGAATTTAGTTTTAAGATCTGCCTTAGCATTGATTTTGCTGCTTCATTCATCAAAGGTTGATATTTCACAATCTGACCATCTGACGGACCAACAGAATCGTCATTTGAAATGCCATCCTGCGTAAGTCTTCGTTTTTTGTTGCCTTCTGATATGCGCCGGTTACTCTCATTTTGCTGCTGCATAAACTGTGCAAGAAATCCAGGGCTATTCATAGCCTTAGCCAGGAATGACATCATCTGTTGCTGGCGCTGTTCCATGCCCTGAAGACGCTGAACCATTGCTTGCAACTGACTATCAGTAGCTTGCTGCTGCTGCCTTAACCGTACGAGTTCCTGCATCAGCACATTCTTGTCCCTTTTAAGCCTCTCAACTTCCTCTTCAAGTCCAAATTTCCCAACCTCCACACACGCCCCGACCGAAGAACTCTGACCATGTGATTGCTGCTGTTGCTGATGGTGTCCATGTGCAGGTTTTCGACGACTAATACTTTTAAGTAGATGCTTTTTCCCTCTTAGGAATCCCTCATTTGCAAACTCCCAGCGGTCTGGATCAACTTTTCTAAAACCCTGTTTGTCCACAACCATAAAGGCAGAAAAATGGAATGGTCAAAAGGTAACCATCATCTAACATTATGATGCACGAAATAAATGGAAAGAGATTTAAAAAGTAAAAATCAACAGTCTTTATCACATACAAGAGAGCATTCATTTGGCAATGCCAAAAAAGATTAACCAGTTAAACATAACCCACTTTCCAGATAGTATCACACCTTTATTGAGAAAAAGGACCTTGTTTAGCAATGATCCTTAGGTCGAACAATCATCTCTAAGAAATCCTCAAAATACATTTAAAAGTTTGATTCTTTGGCTCCAGCTTTCATGTCAAAGTAACTATGAGATATGCAATGAGTCAAAAAGGAAAAACACAAGTATTGGATTCTTTCACTCAGTTCCCAGTACACAAGAAATATCAACAGCTCTTTAGTGAGTAGATAATATGGCAGTAAACAAGCATCAAATTTGCATCCTCCACAGATTTGCCGTGGGCTAATCTGTGAGTGGTAACTGAACTGAACATATGCTAATTGCTCCTCAATGCCATTCCCTCTTCTCTACTAATCAAGCTGATGCAGAATCCCTAGTTTATAAGCCAAAGACCTTGCACTGATTCCTTCTGAACTGGAGCAATGAAAACATGGATAACAGTATTTCACATGTTATTTTATTAAATTCTGTTTTAGTTAAGATCCTACAAAAAATTGTTGACATTTTAGGCACAGATCAATGTAATCCATGTCTTGTATCGAACTTGATAGAAAGCCAAAGGTTGACACAGTTCCACAATAAAATCCGTCACAATTTTCTGTATGGCCCAAGAAAATGTAGAGCAAACAACTAAAAGCATGTTTAGCTAAGTATAAAATAAATTTAAATTTACTTTATAGTAATTTCTAAATTAAGCCAAAGATTGTGGCTTTAAAAGTTACTTTTAAGTAATTTTCTTCACCACTTTTCTTAAAAAA